TGCACCAATTTAATGTTTTTGCTATTGTTTACCACCTTTCCTTCTACATTTAGCATATCTACTGCTTTCTTTTGTGTGATTCTTAGCTTGTTCCTCCACAGCAAGACTATCACTACAATCTTCCTTTGTCTTTTTGTTTAAACCATGATTTTCTGCAAGCTTGGCAGCATGTTGCTTATAAGAACATATAATCAAATATAACACATCTATTCTATACATATGTTAATTTTTCTTAATGCATTTGAAGCTACACTACATCAACTTTGCATGCAGTCAAACTGTTAAATAAATATTAATCTCTGTGCTTGTCTTGGTTGAGAAGGTTGTGCCTGCAATCCTACCTTTGGTCTACAAGAAATCTTTGGGGCTTAGGGCAGGCAGGATCATTAATGGTCACTGGGTAGAGGGCAGCGAGGATCAAGCAAGCAGCATCAGAGATTCAGCAATCTGAGTTGTAACTACCTTTTGGGAAACCCATTTGCTTATCTGTTAATGAGTTGTTCCCACCATCCTGCCTGGGATACTAGGGGACACAGGTTAATAGGCTACCTAACTATCTGAAAATGAAACAGAACTAGGGAGGCGTATTGCTGTTGAGCAGCACAGCCCTAGCTTGTCTTTTGCAGTTTTTTACTGGGGGATGTAGTTAGGTAGAAGTGGTCCTGTTGGAGCATTGTGTGCTTCGTCAGCTCAGACCCGGGACTCTAGAAATAATGGCACTAGGTTGACTACATTTTGGTGGATGAAGTACATTCCAGAAAGTAGCTTGCGTATCAGTTCAAGACATTTAGAAACCTGTGCAGATTATAACAGAAATGTTGTTGTTTTGTAGTTTGTAAGGTCTGATTTCTTAAAAGTACTCAAGCAGCCTTAATTCCAGTTGAAACCCATAAGAATGAGTGTGCTCAGTACTTCTGAAAGTAAGATTGCAGGTCTTCCATGATTTTGGATCCTCTGAGTGTCAATTGCGGAAAAGCCCTTTTGAAAACTCCCACTTTTATAATATACCCAAGAATTTTTAAGACTAAGCTCTGGAGATTTTGAACTGGCCCATCAGTGGGGACTCTGATTGGTTTGACAGAAGCAAACAGTGATACCCATAAAGTTCACTGCAAGTAGATCTGTACTGCTTCCATGGTACTCTTTAGACTGCCACTGAGAAGCATGCTTCACACACATACCCACTCCCGCCCTGTGCACAATAAACAATGAAAGTACTCCAGGGGCAGGACCCTGGGTTACAGCTACATTTCCATTTCCAAGAGACTGTGGATGGAATAACTTCTTACACTTGCCACTTGAGTAGCCTTTGCACTGAGTCTACTTTAGGGCTTTGGTCTTGGGGTTGCAACATGGGAGGTTAATTTGTTTGTTTTGGGGGATTTTTTTTTAGTCAATGCTTCCTTTGGAAATGTTATGTTGAACTTCATATGTAGTGACCACAATATAAATGTAATGGGTGGCACTGTCTGAACATCTCCATTCATTTCTCTTGGGGGCAGTAAAGAGTTACTTCTCAGTACTTGGCCACCTTCCTTATGGAGTCTGTTTCATTAACTTACTTCACTTCAAGATAGAGAGTAGTTTGAAGGATTCTCATTCAGTATTCCAGGGCTTCATCACTCTGTGTGTGTGTGATTTGTTAAGTAACATTTTAACATTAAGAACATGTTGAATAGCAAACTGTTGCTTGTCAAACCCAATATGTGATGGGGATTAGAGGAATGGCAGGGTGAGATTGTGGTGCTGAGGATGGGGGTAATAGAGGAAATAATAATGGGATTGGGAGCAGGAGGTGGGTTGTCCCTCTGGGATTGAAGGGGTTTATGGTATGGTCCCAGAGTGGGGCAGGGATTTTTCTGTCTGGGCCCTTGGCATTTTTGTAAACTTGTTGCTGTAGTGATTTAACTCTTTCATTTTACTATTGTCTGTTAAGGTTCCCAGAAGCAAGGTCAGTTTTATAGTGGCTTTTATTGGACCAACAAAATACTTGGGAGAGATGTTAGACAAACTTCTTGGCACAAAATGGCATTCCTCAGGTCTGGGGAAAGATGTAGATGCAGCTTAAGTTAAATACCAAGTAAAACAATTACTTTTGTTTAATTCAATTATGTAAGTGGAAGAGTCATTTAAGGAAAGGAAGAGGGTGGTGAAGTTGTGGAGCAGGAAGAAGCTATCAGAGGTAGCTACAAACCAAATAAAAGGCAGCTGAAAAAGATTAACTTAATTATGTAATAGAATAAGACCATTCAAAAGGGAAGAGGTTTGTTATTACTTCTCTGTACTCCACAAGTTAGCAGTGAGAGCATGTAAATTGTAATGTGACATAAGACAGTAGTCTATATTTGGTCCATGATTTTTCCTGTCCAGTAAAATTATGGAGTTTTGTTCCCACACATCTGCTGAAGGCATCATGTAACTTTCTCTTGAGTACAAAGACTGTCACATCAGAGATGGAGTGGTTATTCTGTGAAAAAAGTTCTCATACTGGTGACTTGATGTTTCTTTATCATTTTTCTTTGCGAGCTCTGTCTGGAGCATAGTAGTTTAGTTTTGCCCACATAGCTTCTATAGGGGCATTTAGTATGTTGGATGAGATGCTGCATCTTTTTTTAGACAGGTGTAGGATCCACAGATTCTGATAGTTTCATTGTGGGGTGTGTTGATCATGGTGATGGTGGAGATGTTTTGAATAGCTTTGCATTTGGTGTTTAGGTTAGATCTTATTCTACCTGATGTTTGTTGATCTGTGGAAAATTTTCTTCTGATGATGAGTTGGGCAAAGTGTTTGAAAGCTGGTGGGAGGAAGGGGCTGGTCCTCAAGTTGTGGTCCTTTTCAAGTATAGGTTGTAATTGGAAACTATAAAGGGGAGGGGGAATCAAATTAGTGTGGGATGGTATGTGACAACAAGGGGTGAGCAGTTTGCAGGTTTTCTTTCTGTTTATTGTAATAGCTTTGTGAGGGGTATTTGGGTGGCTCATTCTGTAGGCTGCTATGGGCAGAGCACAGTGGGGTATGTTTGGTCAAGCTAGTTGATCTGACCTGTTTTACTTTTGCTGCTGGCTTTGGCCAAGGACCTACTGTTCAGGGCCCTTGCCTCTGCTGCAGCCAGGCTCCTAGATAATACCTGGAGGCCACCCAGGCTCGTTAACAATGCAAAACAAACAAAAGAAGTTAAACAAATAAGTTAGCACTTAGCTGTCTTCCAGTGGCTCTTCCAGGTTTCACCTTCTGGTTGCCTCTTATCTTTCAGAGGCTTTGCAGAGCCTGCAGGCTTGTGCAACAAAGCAACTGATTGAGCAAACAAACAGAAAAGAGCCCTGCTCTGGGCTCTCCCAGTGGCTGCTTAACCCCTGGTAGCTCCAGGCAGCCTGCTCCCTGGCTAGGTGCAGCCCCTTGAGGCTGTTTTTCAGTGTCTTTTATCCTTCCCACTCTGGGCGCACTTGGCTAACCCTCTCTCACTCCCCACACCTGTCAGGACCCTTGCTGAGGGACTTGCTTCATCCCATGACCTGGTTCCCAGTCTCCAGTGAGTTCTCTCAGGTCTGGGGTAGGTGTGCAGAGGTGCTTCTGTGGTGTGGGGGCTGTTCAGATGTAGTCTTTTTCTCTGCTGGAGTGTCCTTGCTGGATAAAAAGATAGTTTTTAGGTTGGAGAGGTGACTATCACAAATTCTTTTTAAAGCAGATGTAGTGGTATCTGTGGGCCTGACTATAGATTACAGGTTCCTTGGTGGCTATACAGAACACCAAATGAGGTGGTTTCTCAGTTTCTTGGAGAGTAATGCACAGCTTGTCAGTGCTTGTATATAGAGTGGCTTGGTCACCTGGAGTCTCTTAAGTATGATGTTCTTCTGCTAGAAATACCATATCTGAGCATATATGAGTAAGCTTCTTGTGTAGGTTAATTTGCAGCCCATTTAATTTGGATGAGTATGGTGGCTGCCATGAGCACAGAGGTGGTTAGCTGCAGGTAGAAGTCAGGGCAAGGTGGTATCTTAAGTTAACTGGTTCAGAGAGGCATGAGCTCTCATGGGTAACAACCTATTTGCCTTATAGTCAAACAACCTACTTCATATGGCAGCTCATGCCCCTTTGAACCAGTTTGTTTCCAAGGTACCACCCTACACTGCTAGCTTCCTTGGTGAGTTTGGGATGAGCACTAGTTTTGCATAGGTAAGTGGTCCCTGGGGGCTTTTTGGCATATAGCTGTGAAGTGCCATTCTGGATGTGGGTTATAGTATCTACAAAGTTAATGTTGGTGTAAGAGTGTTCTAGAAAAAAAAATGATAGGAAGGTGGTATTTGTTGAAACAGCGGTAGAAATCTGTAGGAGAATTCAGATAGTCCAGAGGATGAAAATGTCATCCATGTATCTCAGGTACTGTGATAGTTTAATGATGCAGTTTTCTAAAAACTCCTGTTTGGTTGGTTCTGATGTATAGTTTATGCTGTATCTTCTCTTTTTCCCAGACCTGAGGGAGGGTTTTTTTATGCCTGAGAACTTGTCTGACATCTCTCTCAACTATATAGTTGGCCCAGTACAAGATATTACTATGCACATCTTGCGTCTTGCACATTCCCTAGATCATCCCAGTTAGAACCCTCCCACAGTACTATAAGTTGTCCAGGGGCATTTAAACCTTTGGAAGGTAGCTTCAGCCAATTAATAACAACAACAACATGGCCTGATTCCTTTTCCCTTTCCTCTCTCCTCCCCCCGCCCCTCCAACCCTCAGGCATGTGTGCACACACAGCTCCTTAATCATCTGCATTGTGAAGGGAGCCCCAGTTGCTCCATTTATGGACTATAAGGTAATTTCCCCTTTTGGACTCCCCAGGAGTGTAAAGATGCTCCTCCAAGCCTTGCTTCCATCTCAATTTTTTCTTGCAGTAAGTTGCTCATGTCTTGTGGTGGGGGAGGGGTGATGAGAGAGGCAGGGGGCAATGGCCAGCACTAATCCTTGTTCCTTTCTCCTTCCCTGCCCCACTCCCCTTCACAGGATTGCAGTTCGAGTTCATTAACCCCATTTTTGAGTTTTCAAAGGGAATGAATGATCTACAGCTCAACGATGCTGAATATGCACTTTTAATTGCCATCAACATTTTCTCTGCAGGTAAAAACTCAGGGAAGAGGTGGAGAGCAGCAGCCCTTAATTAAGAGTCCAGAAAGATAGGGAAGCCCTGGGTCATAGTTTGAGGGAAGGGGTGACAAGGCTTTAAGAAGGGCAGGATCCTTTTATTAGTATTGAGTTGGTGTAGTACAACTTACACTGTTCATATCCATTATGTACTGAGTGTTCTCGAGATCCCCTGCCACATGAAGGCAATTGTGCATTGTTCTAAGAGCATGTTTTAGATCAGCTGAATTGTAATCAGTCCCCTTCAGAAGCCATTATTACCCTGTATGAAGTCTTCTACTGCTCCTTTGGCAAAGGACAGTAGTGACCCCTAGTGGCCAGTTAGGGATAGTTTGAAGTGTGGGCCCATTACAGCACTAGGCCAAGTGCTGTGCAAGGATGCCTTTAGATCAGTCTTTCCTCTGGTTTACTGATAGAAGGATCAATATTTCCTTATTTCTCCTGGTGGATTAGCTGCTGAAGAAAGTCTCCCATACTTGCCTGAATGGAATAATGCCTCACATCTCCATTAGGTCTGGAATGTGAAACCTGGCAAGTTAGACCAGGCTGCCCTGGCTGGTAATCTTTTGCCACAAGGCAAACTCCTCTTATTCAACAAGCCATCCTAAACAAGGATGAGATGGAAATAGGCACAGGAAACTGAGTCTCCCAATTACTTCAATCTTGGGAAGATAGGTTATTAGGAGAGCTGGGAGTTGAGTATCAAGGGATTGGGTTTAGCATGGAATCTCAAGACTGGCGAGGCTACCTACTCATTTATAATCTTTTTTTTGGCAGACCGACCGAATGTCCAGGACCAGGCCTTGGTGGAGAGGCTGCAGCATACCTATGTAGAGGCCCTTCATTCTTACATTTGCATCAACAGACCAAATGTAAGTGCCTGGCTGAGTCATGAGAATCAGCTGGGGGGGGGGTCCAGGAGTGATCCAGCAGGCTGACACA